CCATCACCACAGTCACTACCACCACCACAGTCACTACCACCACCACAGTCACTACCACCACAATCACTACCACCACAATCACTACCACCACCACCATCAGTTCCACCACCACCATCAGTACCACCACCATCACTACCACTACCATAACTACCACCATCTACCCACAATCACCACATCACTACCACACTACCACCACCACTATTATCACCACCATCACTGCCACCACTACACAACCACCACCACCATCACTACCACCACCATCACTACCATCACAATCACTTACACCACCACAATCATCACCACTTACCCCCGGACTAAGAGGCTCTCAGAATGTGGTCCAGCTTCTGAACTTTAAGGGACCATTTGAGTTGTAGCTTGAGCGGCATTCTAGCATCCGGTCAAGAGTTTCCTTCGTACGTGTTTGGTGACGGGTAATTCCCTTTGTGTCTGGGTGGGTGTGGGTGGGTGTAGGTGATGGCGGGTGGGTGTAGGTGATGGTGGGTGGGTGTAGGTGATGGCGGGTGGGTGTGATGGATGTGGGTGATGGTGATGGTGGGTGGAGGTGATGGGTGGGTGATGGTGGGTGGGTGGTGGGTGGATGGTGATGGTGGGTGGGTAGGGTGATGGTGGGTGGGTGTAGGTGATGGCGGGTGGGTGATGTGGTGGTGGGTGTAGGTGATGGCGGGTGGGTGTAGGTGAGGTGGGCGGTGGCGGGTGGGTGATGGTGGGTGGGTGGGTGAGGTGATGGCGGGTGGGTGATGGTGATGGTGGGTGGGTGCAGGTGATGGCGGTGGGTGGGTGTAGGTGATGGCGGGTGGGTGGGTGTAGGTGATGGCGGGTGGGTGATGGTGGGTGGGTGGGTGGGTGATGGCGGTGGGTGATGGTGATGGCGGGTGGGTGATGGCGGGTGGGTGATGGTGATGGCGGGTGGGATGGCGGGTGGGTGATGGTGGGTGGGTGTGTGTCAGGTGCCTTGTGGTTAGTTAAGCCTACAAACACCCTCCCCACTTCACTTGCCTCCCTCGTGCTGTACACAGGGAGGTGCCTGTGCAGAGAGACGTGCTACTGCTCCTGCTAGCTGTACACAGGGAGGTGCCTGTTGCGAGAGAGACGTGCTACTGCTCCCTGCTAGCTGTACACAGGAGGTGCCTGTTGCGAGAGAGACGTGCTACTGCTCCCCTGCTAGCTGTACACAGGGAGGTGCCTGCCTGTTGAGAGAGAGACGTGCTACTGCTAGCTGTACACAGGGAGGTGCCTGTTGAGAGAGAGACGTGCTACTGCTCCCTGCTAGCTGTACACAGGGAGGTGCCTGTTGAGAGAGAGACGTGCTACTGCTCCCTGCTAGCTGTACACAGGGAGGTGCCTGTTGAGAGAGAGACGTGCTACTGCTCCCTGCTACACCTTGGTCATCCTGTTATGTTACCTGAAGCCTCCCTCACGTGCCACAAACATCCATCACTCAGGTGAGGTGTTGGGCTGACTGTGTGTAGTAAGCAATATATTTATCATCTTTATCGTAGAGGGAAGCGGAAGTGAACGGTGATCGGCGGTAAGAGGGGTTGATAGTGTGTCGTTTAGAGGTGATGTGTGGCGCTGACGGTGACGTGTGGCGCTGACGGTGATGTGTGGCGCTGACGGTGATGTGTTGAATGAGGGGAGTGTTGGCAGGTGTAGGGCGGGATGTTGTGTTAGATATGACAAAGAGTGTAAGATAGGTGCAGTGTGTGTAGGACTGTGTGTGTGTGTGTGTGTGTGTGGATGGTGATGTGTAAGTTGGGGGTGAAGTGTGTGTTGGGTGTCCGCTTGTGTGTGGGGGGAGAGTGGGGTTGGGTTGTGATTGGGGTGGCGGGGGCGTTGGGCAGCTCGGGCACGCTGGTGGTGGTGGGCGGGGCGTGAGGGAGGGGCAGCAGGAGCACCACCACCACCCCCCACGGGGTCGTCAGCTCCCCGGTGCCTCAGTTAGTGACCAACCTCGCGCCGGGACGCACCTGTGTTGGGCTATTCTTCACTCGCGGCGGTGCTTCCTGTCCTCACGTGAGAGAGAGAGATACCCGCGCCGCGTTTTCTGTCACGTCCCCACACACTGTAGGGGAGACTACGGTACACCAGACCCTCCCCGGGAACTGTGAAGGTTGTGTGGTGATAGTGAACCCGTGATTACAGTGTGTTACAAGGTGCAGTTATAACTACTTAAGAAAACCCCTGGAAATGGTCCATTGTGAGTGTGCGTCAGAGCGGATATTATCACGACCTTCTGATCTAACTTATGGTGAGAAGCCGTTACCTGTGCAGTGATACATGAACAATGTGATATTTAAGAACGTTTATTATGGTGTAGTGAAGAAAGAGATCAGTGTGTGTCCTAAGTGTTGTGTCTCAGTGCGCGTTTCTCAGCGCTATTAAGTGACTCCGCTATTGTGTGTACTAGTTAGCAACATGAATGGAATTATTATGTACCTGTACTAGTTTTTATAATTAGTTCTCCTTGGGCTCTGTATACCTGGAATCCACCTGGGGTTGAACTGTAGAAAAAAATCCTATTAAAATGATTAGTTTACTTGATCAGCTGATGTTAGTGACGGGAGAAAGTGAGAGTCAGATCAGCTGTCTATTGTTTACCCGATCAGCTGATGTTTGTTGTGAGGGGGAGGGAGGTGAGGTTAAGTTTTATGTTAACTATATCAGCTGATGTTTGTTATAGACCTCCATGTGATGTTAGAGAGGTGATGTTAAAATGATGAGGGAGAGACTGAAGAGGTGAGGGGGAGGGGATGTGAGGTGAGAGGGATGTGAGGTGAGAGGGATGTGAGGTGAGGAGGAGGGGAGGTGAGGCGAGGGAAGGAGATAGTATAATTTACCTGACCTGTTGCTTCTATAATATCTTTGAACTTAGTAAATTTTGATGATTTTTTGGGCACTTGTCACTGCTGTTTTTAATTTGACTTTGTGTGTGTGTGTGTGTGTGTCAGTACGCCTTGTCTACCTGTGTCGACCTCTAAAGCTTAATCATGACACCTGCCCCCCAGGCATTGTCAACCTCCTTATTTCACGAGTTTCTTTGACCTAAATTGTCTGTCTGTGTGTGTGTGTGTACCACCTTGTATTAGCACGTAAGCTCGTTAATATACACACAGGGGTCAGTTTGGGAGTATTTTGGTTTTGTCTTCTACGATTGTCTTCAGTGGTCACGTGACTGGGGTGGTGAAACTGTAGCTGTAATTCTGTAGTTAGAAACACCTCACAAGATATGGTAGCTATGAGCGGTTTTCCCGGGTGTGGGAGGGGTGGTGTTGTGTTTTCTGTTACTCTACGGTTTTTCTTTCTCCTTTTTTTTCTCTTCATTTCTCTCTTCACTTTCCCGAGTTTTTCATTTTATCTTACTTTGTCTCTTCTTTCTCCCTCCTTTCTCTTCCATTTTCTCTTAATTTATCTTCCATCTTCTTTCCTTCTCCCCTCCTTTCTCTCTCCCCCCCCTTCTCTTATCAGTGTTGAGGACTAACGAGTGAGGACGTGAAGAGTTAGAGTCTTGTGGCGGTGTGGGTAGTTAGTAGCAGGAACAGTGAGGTAGTTAACGAGGTCCGCTACGAGGAATGCCGAGTGTTATTATGTAATGTTAACCAAGATTAATTTTTGTTCATAATAAAGTTATGTTTAAGGATAGTATAGTATTGTGGCCCCCAGGGAGTGAGTATGTGTACGGCGGGCGTCACCACTGAGGGAACACAGTAAGACCTATGGTGTGGTAACCAGCCGGCGCCAGGCTACGCCCTCGACGCAAACTCTGCGTTCATGGCAGAAGGTCGACGTCGCCGGCGCGGCCCCCAGGGGAAGGTGCCCCACGACAACGTGCTCAGGGTCAACCTGGACGTGCGCTCAGGGGTGCCACGCGCCTCCCTCATCCACCCCAGCAGCAGCAGCAACGGCGCCTCCACCACGGGCGTCGGGGTGACCCCAGGTGTACAGGCCGACCACCCAAACCTTCCTGCCACCCACCGCCCCAACACCGCCACCCATTATCGGGAGTCCCTTGACCAGCCTCCTAAATACGATGACATTTTCAAGGGCCAGGTGAACGGTCAGCCTTCTCACCTCTTTCAAGGACAACATAAGAGTTACGAGAAAAGGCATCTCAAGTCTTACCTGTTTAGACACTTCCCCAAGGCCAAGACTTTCTGTAACAATAAGAATAACAGTAAAGGTCGCGGGGCTCCCGTCGTCAACGGTTCAGTTGGCTCTCGTGGGAAGGGCAGTGTCAGGGGGCGAGGTCAGCACTACGCTGAGGTCAACATCCCGCCCTCACAGCCCCACCACTACCAGGATTCCCAGTTTGTAGGAGGTCCATCGCCGACCCTCCTCCACCCTCCACACCCTGGCCAGGAGTACCACCACCACCCTCAGCAGCAGCCAGAACAGGAGCAGCAGTTTGAGCAGCAACAATATTTCGTAGAAGAAGAGGAGCTTGGGCACCAGCCGGGACCAGATCACCAGCATCCTCATAGCAGCACTAAGAAGTTCACCATCACCCTCAAGCCTGGTCAGTACCGGGTGAACGTTCAGTGGCGCTCCAAGACGCAGCCATTCCGCATTACACTCACACCCAAGAAGAAGACCAGGTTTGAGGCGCCGCCCCCTGCGGATCAGCAGCCACTCTACTACGGCACGTGTACCTCCCATCAGCACGCCCACCATATCTCGCTGCCCAGGCGGCTTGTGCATCGTCTCTTGCTCCGTCCACACTCACCCACCCTGGAGTGTGACTACGAGGAGGACGGCGACGACGAATACGACGAGAATATGACGCCCGCGCAGCTGCCCCAGCACTCGGTGCACCAGGCCCACCTGCAGCAGCAGCAGGAGGTAGTGAAGCATGAAGAGCGGCCTCTGCAGGAAGAGATGGGCATCAACCCCAGGGAGTGTGGGGACAGGAAGGGCCAGAAGAGGTCCTGGGACGGCGTGGGTCCGCGCCACCGCCAGCGGAAGAGCCGCTACAGGTGGGCATCACTCTCATGTATGCATCTGAGCAGCCTGGACGACAGCGTGGGTGAGACCTCCGGCGGCGACTCTTACGGTGGGTATGAGGGCGTGGAGCACCTGAAGCGTCACTCCCTCGGCCACACGAGGGCCGTCAGCTGTGAGAGTCTCACCTGTGGGTGTCGGGCCGTAACTGCCTCTCCAGGTGCTGGAGGCAGACCCAGCTTTGGTAACTATGGTGGTGGGAATATGAGGCGCCGGGGAGTAGCAGCTCTTGGGGTTAGCGCCAGACTAAATTCTCTTAATTCTGCTTTGTATGGTGGTGGTGGTGGTGGTGGTGGTGGTAGTAGTATTGTTGGTGGTAGTGTTGGTAGAGGTGGTGGTAGTGTTGGTAGAGGTGGTGGTAGTGTTGGTGGTGGTAAGACCAGCGTGACAGACGATAGTTTTATCTTCGTGGAGAAGTCTCAGCTGAAGTACCAGGCCGTGTCGTGTGAGGTGTTGAGGGACAACAAGGAGGGGCAGCCTGGGCCAGGTGACTTGTTATCCAGGCTGAGGAAGATCGCGTCGCCGCTGCCTGGTGAACGCAAGACATGGCACGAGGACGAGGCTTTTGTGAAGCAAGTGGTGGAGGAGTACTTCAAGGAGCCCGCACCGCTCTCTGACCTGGAGGAGAAGGTCTCGGAGAAGATTAACCCCCTGCCCGCGTCCACCAAGAAGTCCAGGACCGCTGACAACCTCTTCATCGGTCGTAAAGCTGTCGACCTTCATGATTCATCGTCTTCGTCATCTTCGACTTCGGGTTCTTTATCATCGTCATCGTCCTCTGAAGATGAAGTTGATGACAACGACAACGTGGAGAAAGTAGCGGACTGTGGGAGCCCCAGTATCGACGACACGACGTACTGTGACACAGACGAGAGCAACTCCTGGTTCACGGACGACTCCCAGGGGTACGAGGCTGACGTGGAGCCCAGCGACAGAGACACCCTGGGCCAGGCGTGGCGCCGCTGGCGGAGCGCGCCAGACGTACGACTCACCAGTGACGTCAAGGCCAGGCTGCAGGGGCAACAACTGGGACAAGCTGCTGCAGCGGCGGCGCCTCTGGGTAAAGATGGTGCTGTCAACAGTGGCAGAGGCGGCTTCAATGGCACCAAGAACGGCGGTGGGCGGGTCTGGTGGTGGCAGGGCGAGGGTGGTGGCGTGATAGGGCGGGGAGGAGGGGAGGCGGCCGCCCACGCCACCCCATATAAACACTCGCCGGTGTGTGGCTACCAGACCCGCAAGTCGTGTAGTGTTGACGAGACCAAGCTCTCTCGCCTCAGGCTCGGTCTCCGGAAGGTTAAACAACACAAGCTGCTACAGTTCCCTCAGCAGGACCTAGAGAGGAAGAGGCGCCCCTCCCGAGTTAATGGCCACACTAACAAAAATAATGAGAGAGCGCGAGTGGGTGGTGGTGGGGAGGCGCCTCACCCAGCCAGCAGCACTCCTGACAAAGAGGAGGTAGGCGACCATGTGTTCACTGGTCGTGTGGACAAGTTAGAGTTTGTTAATGGTAAATTTAAAGCTGCTATAGAGAAGACTGGGTGCAAGGAAGTGGTGTGCGAGTGTGTCCGTAAAACTGTCGGGAAAGTGGGCGTAGAATCAGAGGGTGAAGGCGGTGGTGGTGGGCGTGGTGTTGGTAGAGGGAGCAGTGTAGATGGGGGCGGCAGTGTGGACGACAGCACGACGGAGAGGACCCACAGAGTTCTTAGTCAGGGCCTCGTCGTTCACCACTCTGCCACACACGAGTCCCAATCCATCCTCAACGCTAGTATCATCAAGAACGCCCTCAGCATCCTGAGGGAAGGGATAGCAACTGAGGAACTAGAGGCAACAAAACCTGTGTCTTGTGAACCTTCGGCTACGTCAGGAGTGAGGGGCTTGCCAAGTGAGGCAGGGGAGAACAAGGGGCCTCACAGCGAATATAAATCGGGACAGGAAAAGGAAGACGCTGTTCAAGTGGGCGAAGGGGAGAGGACGAGTGTAAACACGGGAGATAGCACACGCGGCCAGACTAACACACCTGCGGCTACACCTGATGACCGGGAAGGACCAACTGTGACGGCAGGAGCTGCAGAAGGTTACACCAAACATCCGGATGTTGACAGAGTGCAGGAGGAAAACAGCGAGATGAATCGAAGTAACCTCAGCATTCATCTTGCATCACATCTGACCCAGAAGCCCAGCCCGGACAAGGACCTGAAGCCAACCATAGGACCCACCACAGAACACCAGCCTTCCTTTGCCCTGCCCTCACAGCACCCACGTGTGAAGGAACAGCCTTGCATGGGGTCTTGGGGAAAACCCCCCAGTAAGTGTAACGACAGTCGCACCTACCAGAACATAGAACGAAGTGGTGGGTTTAACCTTAGAGGCGGTGGTCAACAGGCCAGTGACGGTTTAGTGAGTCAAGGCAACCAGAGGATGAAGACGCTGCTTGAAGCGGGTCCCTCGAGGCGCTCCTCCAGTGTGGACTCTGTGAGGAGGAATGAGCGAACGTCATCAGAGTGGAGGGCGAGTACCGACACTTTGTCCTCGTCCAGCGGCACAAGCAGTTGTTGTCACCCCAGATCTAAACCCAAGTACAAGTCGTCTAGGAAATCAGTCCCGCTGCCCACGGGCCACGGTACCGGGCGGCAGGACTCGAGCACTAGCAGCTCTACCTCGGTCAAGGTGTTTGGTAATGAGTTTCACCTGCATCGTGTTCAGGTGGGCACCGGCAACGACCGTAAATTTGCTCAGGCGACACAGCGGACAGTCCTCGAAGTGCCGGTGAGTGGTGGGGAGCAGAGCGACAGCCAGACACTGTGTCCGCCCCGCGGGGACAACAAACAGTGTGGTGGTGGGGCGACGGTGCAAAAGAGTGAGCTAGTGCTTGGGCCGCCCCAGTACTGTGGCAGCCAGGGCGGGAGACAGAAGCAACCTCCTTCCTTCCTCAACTCCTTCCCCACCACCAACACTTGTATATCAGAGTACAACATCGGCGATGCTCACCCCGCAGCCCCACACTTCCCTAGACTCCTGGCTCGCGAATTTAAAGTTTCTAACATCGATATAGAAAACGCGAAGCTTGTGGGTGATGAACCAACCAAGAAGTCCAACAAGAGCAGCTCAAAAAGCAAGTCCAAGTCCAAACCCAGGAAATATTTCTCTGGTATCCTGAATGCCATTGGTTCAGCAGCGCCTCGGTTCAGGGGTCTGGGCACAACAGGTGACTGTAAGGAGGAGAGAGTGAAGAAGGAGCATGATGCTGGGCGGCTGTTGAAGGAGGTGAGCACTACAGTCTTGCATCCCGATCGTCCCCAGGTGTGCCGCGCCCCGACACCCACTGGGGGCGAGTGTAGGGACTCTGGTTCACAGGATTCTCGGATAGACCGAGCTACAGCGTCGTCAGGTGGCGAGGGTAGTGGCAGGCCTGACGTGGCAGCCTCGGTTATAAGTGAGGTAATACAGGTGCGAGGCTCCACTAAACATAGCGGCGGGAGTGGCTCACAATACGCCACTCTCAATGACGGTGTTCCTCTTCCAAGCCCACACCCACGACGCGCCCGCAAGAATAGCCATGATTCATCAGATAGCGTCGTTGCGCCCACACCACCCACTCGTCGAAAAAACACCGAAGAATCCCCAAGTAAAACAATTATAAGTGGCGGGAGTAACGAGAGGGGCGGCCATCGTGTTGAGAGTCCGCGAGCTAGTCCACGAGTGAGGCGTGGCCGGGAGCCAAACTCACAGTCAGTAGAAAGGAACTTCCGGTGCAACCTACCCACCACCGCCGACCACCCCGCCGAACACCCACCCCCACAGGTCTCCTATGAAAATTTGACCTTCCACGAAAAACATTCGTTTGGAAAGCAGGGAATTACCACCAGCCTGGACAAGATCTGTGACAATAAACAGGACGCGGGTGGAGTAGGGACCTCCCCTTTATTTACGAGATCAAGCAGTCTCAGCCACGGGTCAGAGAGCTACTGGAGTCGACACACAAGGTCAAGGTCAGCTGGAGCACCTGACAGTGGGTCAGGCGGAGGCGGCACGAGGACCCAGAAACAGGACAGTGGGTCGGGAAGGAATAGCGGCACGCCGTACGGGGACTCAACGAGGAGACATGACCGTAATACTGAGTCGGGGAGAGGCAGTGGTGGGAGCGGCGGCCGAGAGGTGGTAGAGGGACATAGTAGTGGCTCAGGGAGAGACAACAGTGGCTTGAAAGGAGATAAAGAAAACGTACCGACACATACCAGAGACCCGACACGGGGCGGCGGGGAGATGAATGGAAGTCGTGGTGGGAATTACAGTGATGAAAGGTGTCGAGCGGAGGGCGGAGGCGGCACCAAGAGAAACAATTCCGTGGGTTCTTCTGGCCCTGACTCAGGTGGCAGCAGCACACCTGGTCGCCGGCGACGTGCCCGACCACCCTCTCTACCCACGACGCCGCCACAGTCATCTCGGGCACGCAGGACGTCCCAGTCGCCTGCCACGTCAGGAGGGTCGTTGCCCTCGTCCCCGACTCGCTGGAGAAGACCCCAGGCGGAGGACACTTGGGAGGACAGCTCGGGTGACGGCTCACACGAGGGCCGCCTCTCAAACTCACCGTCAGCAGAATCTGTCGCATCCGAGTCGACGTCTTTCTACTACAGCGCCGCCGGGTCCGTCTACGACCGCCCCAAGTCGCTTTACGACGACGTGACAGCTCGCTATTCGTTCGTCACTTGTCCTCAGTACGAGCCCCTTTCACCCCTTCAGGAAACTGGTGACACTGACTCCCGGCCACCATCTGCCACACCGGCGAAGGTGAAGGACAGCGTCACCAACATCTCCAGAACCATCAGTGGAGACCTAAACTGTGATGTGGACGTCAGTCTGTCCGAGGGGGAGATAAAGATACGTGTTCGGACAGAAGATGAAGACGTGATATCCTCCACGTCTATACATGACGGTGATGATACAGACAGTGATTGTGACGAGTATGACTTGTGTAGTGATGTTAAAACTTTAGATGAGTCGAGAAAATCTGACTCTCCTGAAAATTGTCCCTCGACTTGTGATTCAGAAACTTTATCGTCTACTGTGTGTGAGGCGGAGGAGGAGGAAGATGAGGCTGGTGTGGCGCACGCTGAGCCCTGCGTGGCGGGCACAGACTCCAGTATCTCCAGCTCTAGCGTGCCGACTTTCCGCGGTCGTTACCTGGATTCCCTCAGTTCTCAAGACTCAAGAAAGAGGGAGAGTGGCCTGGTGCACGCCACCCCCTGCTGGGCCACCACAGACTCCGACTTGAGGTCCAGTGCCTCCAGCGCCGACTACTACGGTAAGGTCTACCTCAGTGCTACTCCCGAGGAACGAGTGTATGAACCTGAATATGAGAACCTGAAGGAAGATGATCCTCCATTACCTGTCCCCGAGGTTGAGGAAAATGGAGACACCGTGAGTGACGAGGGAGAGTCCAGCGAACCTACGATAGAGAAGCGCCGTCTGTCTGGCGTCTGGACCCTCGGCGGTGAGGCTGACGATGACAACGGTGAATGGGAGGAGGAAACTGTCTCCACAGATCTGCCCAAGTGTTTCATTGATGTCAACCTCGATGAGGCAGCTGAGGAGAGCGAGGCACCACAGTCCTCGCCGCTGGTGTACCACGACCCGGCAGAGTGTTCCACCATGGAGGAGGAATTCATTCCGGAAGAGGTTCACCCATTGTCTCCAACCCCACACTTTCATGACCAGAGGGAGACCTATCCTGAGGCGGCTCCGTCGGGTGGCTCCAGCGACGCTCAACAACAACAACAACAACAACAAGGTGTCCCGGGGTGGGATCAACACACTACCGCCTGGGAGTGGCACAAGACCATGTGGGAGCACCACCAGCACCTACACCAGCAGCACATCCACCACCTGCACCAGCACCAGCAGCAGCACCAGTCCCTCCTGGCAGACGTCATGTCGTGTTTGGGTGGACGCTGGGGCATGGGAGGGTCGTGGTGCCACCAGCCCTATCCTGAGTCTCCTGTGGGCTGCCCGAAAGACACGAGCAGCTTCGCCCACCTCCAGGACACACCCACCACTGACTGCCGGTGGTCAGGACAGTTTCAGGATGACCCTCCCTATAGGCCTGCTAGTGCCGCGTCATCCTGCGACATGGGTAAGCCGCCTCCGTCGCCGCTGCCACCCTCGGGCTCCCACAGGAGTCGCGACACGTCCTCGGTGCCTCGGGAAGGCTCGAGGCCTCAGAGTAGACAGAGGTCAAGATCTCGGCGTCGGGCCCACTCGGCCAACTCGAAATACGGAGTGGAGATAGAGATTCCGCCCCATCTACTGACTCGACCTAGACCGTCATCGTTCAGTAGCCTGGCCGCCAGGAGACCCACCAGCCACTCCCCTGAACCCCTGGAGGACGACTTAGGACAGGAGGCGCTGCTCTACCTTACCGACGCCGCTTACGACCACAGCATTGACGCCTCCCGTCGCCGGTACTGTTGAGTGTGTGGTCCCCGACCCTCTAACACCGCCGAGTCTTGTTTGTCTCCGCATTAACTGTACTAATACCGTACATGTAGTAGTAGTAGTGTTGGGAGCATGTGTGCTTTGTGACCTACTAATGTTCACGCCACAACTTTGGCTGCTCTACTGCACTGCTGCAGGTAACATTGGGTAGTAGTTGTTAACGATAAGATGGTGTTTGTGAGCGTCATTGTTTCAGGAGAATGGTGTCCTCATCCAGTTAACCAGAATAAGAATTATGTACAAAACAACTTTTTAATTTCAGTGTTTTTGGTAAGGCGACAACATCTCTTATTAGACCTGTTGTGTGTGTGTGTGTGTGTGTGTGTGTGTGTGTGTGTGTGATCTAACTATATATCTGTCTATCTATCTATATCTATCTATCTATCAATCAATCATCCATCTCCTCTCCTCCATCTCTGCCTCCCTCAAGTATCCATTCTTGTCTCTCCCTTGCATTACTATGTCTTATCCCCTCCTCCTCCTCCAACATCCCCCACCATCTTTCCACTCCAACGCCCACCTCCTCCTCGTCTTGGCAGTTGGTATGGCATAGTTGAACACACACACACACACACACAGAGTTATGTGGGGCAACACGTGCACACAGCTGACGCCACGGACCCAATCTGGCTACACTATATAAACGTTCTCGCCTCCTCGTCTTGGAACGTTTCCAGGGGGACATTTTACTGGTGGGAGTGTGTCAGCCTGTGCCACCCACCCTTCCGTGTCATGTGAGAACTACCAGTACTCCTCCCGGTAACTGGTGATGTAAGAATTTTTCCTCCCGGCAACTGGTGATGTTAGAATTTCTCCTCCCGTTAACTGGTGACGTGAGAACTACTCCTCCCGGTAACTGGTGATGTGACAACTACTCCCGGTAACTGGTGATGTAAGAATTTCTCCTCCCGGCAACTGGTGATGTTAGAATTTCTCCTCCCGGCAACTGGTGATGTTAGAATTTCTCCTCCCGGCAACTGGTGATGTGAGAACTACTCCTCCCGGTAACTGGTGATGTGAGAACGCGCCTGACTCACTCACTGAAAGCAATACGAAAGTTGGCGACCAAATTGACGTAGAAATAGTACTCTTAAGTGAGTATACCGTATAATGGCCACTAACTCACCAATGTACCACTGATTATTATTATTATTATTACTATTATTACTATTTATATTAGTTTTAGTTATTATTATTATTATTATTGTTGTTGTTGGTGTTGTTGGTGTTGTTATTGTTGCTATTATTATTATTATTGTTATTATTATTATTATTATTATTATTATTATTATTATTATTATTATTATTATTATTATTATTGCTATTATTATTATTGTTGTTGTTGTTATGAGTAGTCAGTATTTCTTATCTTTAACAACTCGAGGTGTAAGATTATCTTGCTTGTAATGGTGTAGTTTAAATGAACGACCGACGGCATCTGATTGGCTACCTCGTAAACCACAGAAACGAGAGAAAAATTAAACATTACTTTTATTTCAAGCTCTTTTAAAGTTCTAAATTGATGGCGGCCATTAATGAGTTATAAAAGTCCTTTGAAATATCTCCATGTTTATAGCTGACAAAATACAGTTAATCATAAAGTTTATTCTTAATCAGCCAATAGTAGACGTTGTTCATTAGTGCATACCAGCAGAAGGGGACCAGGTGGGAGGTGTAGTGTGTCCTGGCGGCTAGGTGTTTTATTAGGTGTTCCGTGTGTACTAGGTTAGTGTGTGTCTAATATCGTGGTGTTATTATCGAGAAGTTCCTTTGTAATTGCATGGTCATTTTGGTCAGCCAGTATTTGGTACCAGTTCAATACGTGTCTTAATCATGACCAGTGGCAGGAATCTGTATATTACGTATCTTAAGTGTGACAGAAAACGTCGTAGTTTGAGCGGTAACTTAACCATTTAGCGGTGACTATGTTATTCTGTTGAGGATTATATCGACACACCCAACCTCTCCTCCCTTTAAGTTCTAACGGGCCCACGCTTAATAGACTACGGTTCTAATAGGCCATAACCTAATATGCTAATCAGATCTGTATTTGTTGTATGGAATCGGGGCCATTAAGGACTGAAAAGCTAGGTTAGGTGAGGTCAGATTAGATTAAGTTAGGTTGGATTAGAGTAAGTTTGTTTACGTTAAATTTCTGGTAGGTTAGGTTAGGTTCGGTTAGGATTCTTGTAGTCAATATGTCACTCCTCAACAAGACGAGTGTGTTTACCTGAGTGAGGAAGACGTAAACACACCTCCACTATTAAGACACCTGACGATAATGGTCAAGTTTATGCATCACCTGGACCTAACTAGACTCTTGTTAATGAGTATTGTGCTCGTCTACACCTGTGAGGTATTTAGTGTAATAAACCTTCACTCAGCAGTAACACCTTTGAACTTAATGAGGTAGTTTAATGTTTGAGTGGCGGCGAGGTGTGTGTGTGTGTGTGTGTGACGCTATCTACCTGATCAAGGTGTGTGGTGGACCGCCAGGTATGTGTTGTGGGGAGAACCTCTGAGTTAGTTTACGGTGTTCCTCTCCATCGGCTCCTGCTGGTGGTGTTGGCACGTCGGCGGTGGAGGGAGGGCGTGGTGGTGCAGGTGGGGGGTAGATGGAGGTAATAGAGGAAAGTGGAACAATAACAAACCTTGCCAAGCATAAACAGTAAACATTGGTTGACCAGGTGTGAGGCGGAGCTATACTTCACTATCTCGTCTCAGGGCCCCAGGTGCTCTCTCTCTCTCTCTCTCTCTCTCTCCAGTGTCTTCTTAATTTAGTTTTAATGTTGGTTTTATTCTTCTCTCACTGGTTTGGCCTTGTTTTACTTAAGGACGTGTTGGCTTGTCCTTGTTACTCGTCAAGACACATTGTTTTATCTGTGTTTTTTCTTAAGGGTTTATGTAACTCGTCTTTTTTTACCACAGGACATAATTATTACCTCACAATTGTCATCAGAAATATGACACGTACAATACATGTTCTTAGGTTTGACCTCGTGTTGCCTCACCTACGTCACGGGTGTCTTGTTGACCTCTCGCTACTGCTGGGGAGGGTGGTAGTGTGGGGGTGATGGTATGGGTGGTACTGGTGTGAAAATCAGTGGTGGTGGTGGTGAGGGGGGGTGGTGTGGTGGTGAGGGGGGTGGTACTGAGGTGGTGGTGGTGGTGGTGGTGAGGGTGGTACTGGAGGTGGTGGTGGTGGTGGTGGTGAGGGTGGTACTGGTGGTGGAGGGGGAGAGGTGTAGATGGATGGAATCCCCACTTTAACTTGCCAGCCTTGTCGTCTCTTATACAATATTCTTCAGTAAGTCTTGCTAAGATTCACACACTAAGATTCACACACTAAGATTCACACATTAAGATTCACACACTAAGATTCACACATTAAGATTCACACATTAAGATTCACACATTAAGATTCACACACTAAGATTCACACATTAAGATTCACACATTAAGATTCACACATTAAGATTCACACATTAAGATTCACACATTAAGATTCGCACATTAAGATTCACACATTAAGATTCACACATTAAGATTCACACACTAAGATTCACACATTAAGATTCACACACTAAGATTCACACATTAAGATTCAACACAAAGATTCACACATTTTACCTCGTGTTTATGTTATATCTCTTCTACCCTGGCTGATGTGTGTGTGTGTGTGTGTGTGTGTGTGTGTGTGTGTGTGTGTGTGTGTCCGGTCCATGATCGCCAAGTCACCATTATTTTGCCGAACTTTTTCTTTATGTGTAATTTTATCTCTGTTGTAAGTCATCATTGTTGGTGATGACTGTTGAGTGTGTCAGTGCCTTGGTGATGACTGTTGAGTGTGTCAGTGCCTTGGTGATGACTGGTGAGTGTGTCAGTGTCTTGGTGATGACTGGTGAGTGTCAGTGTCTTGGTGATGACTGGTGAGTGTGTCAGTGTCTTGGTGATGACTGGTGAGTGTGTCAGTGTCTTGGTGATGACTGGTGAGTGTGTCAGTGTCTTGGTGATGACTGGTGAGTGTGTCAGTGTCTTGGTGATGACTGGTGTGTCAGTGTCATGTGGTGACTGTTGAGTGTGTCAGTGCCTTGGTGATGACTGTTGAGGTGTCAGTGTCTTGGTGATGACTGGTGAGTGTGTCAGTGTCTTGGTGATGACTGGTGAGTGTCAGTGTCTTGGTGATGACTGGTGAGTGTTATTGTCTGTCTGTGTGAGTTGGTGTACCTGGCTGGTTTATTGATTGGGTATTAGTGTCTGGTTGATTGTTAGTGGTTGGTGATGGTAGCTGTGGTTGCGGTGACATCACTCGCTGGCCCCATTGTTACCTCGACCTACCTTCTGCACTCCCTCTCCCGTCTCCCTCTTCCCTCCCCCTCTCCCCCTCTGCCCCTCTGCCCCCCTCTCACCTTCCCGGAGCCTGACACTCTTGGTCATATTGGAAGGTATAAGCCCCTCCCAAACCCAACACCTGGTAGATGGCAGGTGTTCCCTTCTCAATGGTTGTGTGTTGAGGTCGTCTCCCACCCATGTTAGAGTTAGGTGGTGGGGGGTGTGATAGAGGGGTGACAGGGAGTGGTTAAGGTGATGGTAGAAGGGGTGGCAAAGTAGGTGGTAGAGGGTGTGGCAGGCAGGGAAGGAGGCGGAGTGGAGGGGGGGGGGCGTTCGCCAGCGTCGTCCCACATTTAGCAGGTAGCAACAGGTGGTGGTAGTGGCGGCGAGTTGTTTACCTGGGATTAAAGAGATAATTAATAGTGATTAACTGTGGGAACCTCGTGTGGCTCCTTACCTGAGTGTTGAGGAGATAGTGTAGGTGGTGGTGAGGTGGGCTGGGTTGGGTGGTGGTGGTGAGGTGGGCTGGGTGGTGGTGGTGAGGTGAGGTGGGTGGTGGTGGTGAGTGGGCTGGGTTGGGTGGTGGTGGTGAGGTGGAGTTGGGTGGTGGTGGTGGTGAGGTGGGCTGGGTGGT